TAAGATAAGATAAGATAAGATAAGATAAGATAAGATAAGATAAGATATATTAGATAAGATAATAAATGCTCTGGATAAGGCCTCTGCATTTATTCTGGTTGCTTTCTTTTCTACTCATTAGTGGTCTTGTGGAGTCCAAGTGTTTTGTGGCTCTCTAAGAGCCTGATATCTGGGACTGGTCAGGGGACAATGACAGAACTGTCTTCTTTTTCTGCCCTTTGCACAAATAAACAACATGCTTGAGACATTTCTTCATTTCCTTTTATCAGTGCATTGTGTCCTTCTGCTACAGCTTCTCCTTATCTTGTTATTTTGATGCACCTGCTTCTTTATTTTTTTGTAGCACAGATTGCATTATGAGAGCTACCACATTTGGCATAAATGAGGGTGTAAAGGAAATGGAGCAACGCTTGCAAGATTTAGGTCAACAGCTGTGCTCCCAGCAGGAATATTATTTTAATTATTTGTTTGATTAATAATTAAATAATAATAGTCAACAATAGTCATTGCTCTGCCCTGTTTCAAGGTAAAGTGACAAAATTTTTCAATGAATCGTTTAAACTATTTTGGTTTGTAATTTTTGAGATGCTTTATTTGGCTGATGATTGCATATTTTTACCATGTAAATTAACTGAAATTCATCCTGAACTCAAGAGGAGAGACCTTTATGGATTTTTTTAAATGTGGAGAAAAAAAAAAAACTAAAAAATCTCAGTAATTCAAGGAACTGGTCAAAACTGACTGAACATACTGAATGTTTTCCAGCAACAACACAAGTTAAATAGAAAAATTCCTGGCCAGTTTTGTTGATAGCATTTGCAAGTAGGAAAGTTTGGTATGTAGCAAGTGGAAAGTTGTTTTTAATTTTCATTTAAAATTAGGCAGAGGGATGAAGTCAAGCAAGGCAGTCTTGGTATTCTTCACACAGGCTAGTAGGAGGCAAGGTGCTGTCTTTGAAGCGTTCCTGCAGCCTTACAAGCCTTGCAAAGCTGTTCTTACAGGCACAACTTTACCCACTTCCCTTCTCAAAAGAAGGAGCATGCTGGGCCTCTGCGAGGCTGGGGAGTGGACTAAGGAGTCCAAAGATACTATTTGAAGGAACGGTCCGCCATTCATTCTGCTGGCATAACCAGCCCAAATCACCTGGCTAGAGTCAGATGTGTAGGAAGAAGGATGCTGTGATAAAAGACCATTGCATGACTTCTGGTCTTAGGAAGCCTTAACTTTCAGGTGTGTCACTCAGATCTTAAGTTTAGCTACTGAAGAGGAGCTGCCCACAGACCTGTAATACAGGAAACAGAAGATTCTGCATGCAGAAAGGGTGCCTTCCATTTGCTCTGCTTGTCTAGAGTGGGACACTCATGTGCTGTGCAAGCTGGAAATTTCTTTCCTAGGTGTCACAGCTGGAAAAGTGATAATAAATAACAAATCTTCACATTCACCAGCCTAGGAGTATCAGACAAACAAGGGACCATGGGCAGTGCATAACTTTCAAAGTTATCCTGGTCACTCATGCTGCCAGCAAGCTTACATCTGGGAAATCAGGACCCAGAGGAGAGAGAACTGCATTTGTGGCAGTCTCATAATGCACACCTTCTGCATGGGATTACTGTGGAAGAACATCATTTTGACAGCATGGGAGGTGACAAAAGGTGTTCGTGTTTATGAGAGCTACTTTTCTGTCACTTTTTCTTGTGCTGATTCACTAACAACTAAAGATGAAAAGCCTGAGCTGTCCTAGACAGGGAGATGACTGTTATCTATTGCCTTCTATCTAGAAAGTTCTTTTCCCCTCCCACGCTAAGCTGACGGCTGAGATCTAAGGATGGACTATATGGTAGCTGTCATGGCATCAAAGCTTGTTTGACACATTTCTGTTCTGTTTTTTTTCATTTCTCACCAATTTGTTTTTCTGGGTTTTATTTTCTTCCACCATTTTTCAATTGATTTTCAGTCTTTCCTTAGTGGCATGCAACTTCAGTCACGTTCAAGTTCTAGCCATGGCTGAAATCTTGCAAATGTGCATCTGAGGCAGTTTTAGCTCCCTTCTGACAAAATGTCTGTTTCCTTGGCTGGGTAAGACACCTGCTTCATTCATGACCTCCCTCCAGGGTGCCCACGGCACACACATGAACTGAATCTCAGATCACAGACAAATAGCCAGAACATTCTAAGCTAAACCGGATGTCTTGAAGACTACACATTGACTTCTTGAGTGTCAGTGATGATGAATTAACTTAAGAAATGATTGGGAAGGCGACATCTGTTTTGCCTGCTTTGTTCAAACTCCAGTGCAGTCTTTTAAAGGCTTCTCTAAAATCAGCTTCACCAGGCTGTTCTTGTGAGTCTTCATCACCAAATTGCCTCTTTGATTGCCAGCAGGGCATCTTCACTCTACTCCCAGTACCAGCTTCCTCTTCTTCATCACAAGGAAAGTCAATAGGCCTTTTGATGATAATCCTTGGAGCTGGCACCCTGACTTGAAATGACATAACCACTACGCTTACCTTTCCTGGACTCCAGGATGAACATCCAAGAATCACATTTAATGAAAAAAAAAAAGGGTAATGTTCTTCAAAGATATTTGCCTGACCAAGGAATCAAATCTCCAGTTTCAGAAGCAGCATGGGCACTGAGGAACCCCTGTATGTCTAGGGAGCGCAGCGAAGCTTCATGCAGAGCTGTGCCCTTAAGCACCCCTCACGCAGGTTGGAGCCATGCAGGTTATGTGGATATGTTAACACAGGACCCAAACAGAAAATAAAATGGGTTATGAGCAGTGAGGATGCCCCAACTTTGCTCAGTGTGCATATATACCAAAACTGCAACAAAAACCAACATGAAATTGACTGTAAAAGCCACTTCAGTCATGCAGGCCCTTTCAGAACTTTCTTCTGAGAGGGACAACTACTGAAATGTCCCCTGGATGTGGGCACCTTACCTTTGAGAACTGGGAAATTCGTTCCTTAGAGGAAAGACAGACAGATTTGGAGCTGTGGGTACAAAATGGAAAAGGACAGTATATGGCATGGAGAAATCACATAGCCTTTTGTTAGCTATATCTTGTACACCTTGGATGATGCAGCATTCAGAGGTGTATCTGTAAGTCCCAAGCATCAGAATTCACCCTGAGTAGGAGCTGGTTGTCCTCGATGAGCTACTTTAGGAACCTGTGACAGTGATGTGTTAGCGTACCAGCAAGCACCGCAGGCTTTTCCCTAAGAACATCAGTACAGGTCTCCAGGCAGAGGTTAGACCTCTGTGCATGAGGTGAGTTCTACCAGTCACGACCGTGCCAGAGCTGAGAGATCTTTTTGCTCTGGCCTGCCTTGTGACCAGCCATGTGGCACTTCTTCGAGTTCAGCCAACAAGCTCTTTCCAAGTCCTCACTGACCCTCACCTCTCGCATTTGGAGGGGAGCCTCAGCTCAGAGAAGTCTGTATCCTTGCTGGCCTGACAGTTGCATTTTGTGCCCTAGGGCCTTTACTGGGAGCTTGTCACACCCCCTTCCATGTCATGATTCTTACCTGTGTGTGTTCACGATGAGGGAGAACTACTGAAAATGACAGTTTTCCTCATTTCTCCCTCTCTATTTCTCTTCACATGAGAAATAAATAATTGCTGAAAAACGCTGCCTGTGTTCCATTAAGTAGAAAGAAACAGGAGTTCCTCTCCTTGGCTTCCTTTATTGCCGCTGAAGTTGCGTATCAATGACATGCCATCTAAACGTAAATCTGGCAAGAAGAACAAATGCTACTGTAGCCCTTGAGCAACAGCACAGAACTGATCTGCCAACACTCTTTTGAACTGCAAAGCTTTGATCATATTAGACATCGCAGGGTTTGAAACCATCGCTTCCTCCTCTCTGTGCTGTGCCACAGACTGGGAGCAGACACTGGTGCCCTGCGCAGACTGGGTCGCGCCTGCAGGGCTGGGACTTGCACTGGGACCTGGGCCCGTCTCACTCCACCAGCCGGCTGTGCACACGGGGCCCGCTCACCTGGCTCTGTGCTGAGGCTGCTCTAGCTGCCTGCTGTCCCTCACACTGGATAGGCCAGGAGTTAAGCCATTGCTTCCGCTTCAGGGCTCCGGTCCTTGCTTCTGATGAGCATTTTGGGCTCTTTGTAGGCCAGCTGGGACCTGAGGCCTTGGTGAGGGATGGGCAGTCGAGGTTGAGGGAAGTCTGACAACAAGACGCAAAGCCCGCAGCACTGCTTGCTCTAAGAAGTTGGAAAGCTTGTTAAAATGCTTGATATTATGAAGAAACCTATGGAGCTCAGAGAGCTTGGTCAGAAGGGTGCGGTAGGCAGGCAGGGACGGGACGTGGAGAAAGGTAGGGATAAACGTAGAGGGACTGTCCAAGAAGTCATGCTGAAAGATATGAAGTAAGGCAGGGAGATCGGCTCCAGGGAGAGAGGTGTTTGGCCACCCGCTGCTGAGCTCCCATCAATTTCCAGCCCCGTGAGCTGGCACATCCCGGCCCATCTCCTCGTGGTGACTGGGATAGCCTGCCAGAGCCTTGCAGCCGGGCAGCGCATGAGGTCTGTTCTGGCTCAGCTTTCTTCTCTGTCCCTTTCTCTCTGTTAACACAGAGATTCTGCACATGCTTTCTCTCTAACAGCAACACAGCCATTCTCCCTGGAGCACTCTGTGAGTCCTTCCAGGGGCAGTAACACGAAGATGCTTGCCCCACACAACGCTTGCTGTTGCCTGAGCAGCTGCTCACCGCTCTGTGGTGCTCCTTGCCAGTCTTGTCTAGATAGTGGCTGCAAGTAGCATCCCATCCATCTCAATCTTCCTACCATCTGGGCTTCTAGCAGGTCAGAAGGTAGGAGGCAGGCAGAGAAAGAAAGAAGGGGTTTTGCTGGTGGCTTGAAGATCCAGGCCTAGAAAAAAGCTGCAGTGCTAATGTTGTTAAAGCAAAGCAGAAAGTAAATACGCGCGTGAAGCATTTATTTTTTCCATTCATCACAATGCACTTTTTATTTTTGACCTTAGCCTCAAGAATGGTGCCAGACATGTTCTGTGATTTCTCCCCTTTTCCCCTCCAGATGTCCAAATGGATTCTTCGGACAGAGATGTTTGGAGAAACTGCCTTTGCGATTGTACATGCCAGACCCTAAGCAAAGTATGTTTGAAGACAAACACACACCACACTACTTAAAACCTCCTGGGCACAGCGTGGATGTAGAGTGGTCTAGTCAGGGATGGCTCTTGGTGTCAGCTTTGGGCTAGGGCTTAGGGCTGCAGGTAAGGGCACAGGCTGAAAGCAGACAGATAGGAGTTGTGAAAGGGATCAGAAAGGGGCCTCAGTTTGCTCTGTCTGGGTGTCATTTTGCTATCTTGTTTCTTTCTTTCTGGTTTTCTTTCTTTCGGTAGGTGTCCGATCGAATTCACAGGAGACCGGTGTCAGCATTTCGCAATGGTCAGCTTCTCCAGTATGTCTCTTTCTACTTCTCTCTCTCCCTGGTTATTGTAGCTCTGTGTCATGTCCTTAAAGCAGGTTCTTCTGTTCTCCAACAGCCCTCTTCCAGTCTTGTGCACTCCCAGCTCTGCTTGACCCTTAAGAGGAGCTGTGATCGTTGCCAAGAGGAGAACCTGGGCTGTTGCTGTCTTCCCATTTATTAGAATGATTTCTGATTGAATTTAAAGTTGCTTGCTCTTTTCATGCAAAACACAACTGAGGCACGAGGTTATTGTGGTGTGCTGTGTGAGAACAGTCTTGCGTGATAAACTGTATCTGCTGGCACTGCTGTCTCAACACAGACTGTGGTGCAGTGCAAGAGATCTGTGTTTTTCCTACGACTCTTGCAGTTTGGGTGTGTGAGTCTCTCTGTACCAACTGCAGAAAACACAATGAGGGCAGTACTGAAATTTCCCCTGTGCTGAGGATGTGTTTTTTGTTTCCAGAAGTTAAACTGAGCATTAAATGCTGTTCAAATGAGATTGTAAGAGGATGGCCCCAGGTAGGGCAGAACATAGCATGCATGCCTGGAGTACGAAAGACCATGTTGGACACTGCCATGGTCTCAGGGCTTCCTCCCTGCGATGCCATGCAGCATATGGACAAAAACTGCTGATTAGGCGTCTCCAACCATATCCATCCTGGACACAGAGATGTTCCCATCTCTCCTCGTGGGTTGGACAGCCGTGCATGTGGGGTGGTGTCTAACTACAGTGACTGATCCCTTAACTTCGTATGCAGTGAATGTAAGTACCCTACAAGCCTTCCCAGTGTCTAGTTCTCAGCTCTTATGTTCTCTGCGTCTCCAGAGATGCCTCGCTTGTTCATTTTGTTCACTGCAGGTAGTTTTTGACCGATTGATATTCAGACTGTGTCCCAGCACCAGAGGGGTCCTTGTGTGGGTAAGGTCTGACCTGAAATGTGATTCAGGGCTGAGCCTGCATTTACAGCAGTGTGACCTCTGTGTACACCCTGTCTCTGTGCTAGCCATTGGGACCACAACAAATGGTGGTTTTAAAGAGAGGCTTTTTGAAAAAAGCCACAGAAGAGGCCTTAATTAGTGGGAACCAGAGGAAGAAAGACCTCTCCATGATATCTCCTTGATTGTCAGTATTGCCTCTGTTACCTCTCCTTAAGGAATCCTGCAGTCCTTGTCCTGAACTGGCAGTAGCAGGAGTCTCATTAGCACATACTAATAGTTGGCTAGGGCTTGCATTAAGCTCTTCTACAGAGTATACAGGCAAGACATTAATGGGCTTTGAAGCCCTTGGGACAGCTTGATTTTTTACATTGCCTTTTGTTCCAGATTAACTTCCAAAGTTGAAACCTCCATTGGTTTATTTTTTTCAGATAAAACATCTAAGTAAGGCTTTTTTTTTTTTTTTTTTTTTTCAATGACTCACCAAAAATTCTGTTTTCATATTTAACCCGATACAAAAGGGTTTCTTTTCCACTTTGGATCCCATAGTGTCAGGGATCCCAGCTGCAGACAATATTGGGACACTCACCTGCTGAATCTGATTTGTAGGGTGCTTCATGAGGTGATGTCCCACACAGTTAGGTGTTATTGCTACTGTGCTGCAAAAACAAAATGGGTGAACACGAGTTCTATGTCAGAAAAGTGCTTTTTCAGAACATTAATAGCGATAGGAAACAGCATGCATTTTAACCCCAGCCTGCAGAATCCAGATTTTTATGGGAATGAGAGATTTGTTTAAGTTTTATTTATATGTTAGAGGAACAGTGCCAGCTTTAAAACTGACACATTTCTTACCTCTATTCTTTTTTAACCACAGGATAGTAAGTTAAAAACAGTTTAACAAACCAGCTTGCCTGTCTGAACTTGGATAAAAATCATCTAAGATGATTCATATGTGTTTATAGCTGTTTTCACTTTCAGGTCACAGTTGGGTAATATACGTAGCAGCTATACTGCAGCAAAGAATGCACTGAACTTGCCATTCTTCCAATTAGGAAAGGCATTTCACTTGAGTCTGGGTTGTGTGAGTGCTTACTTTCTACTTCAAACAATAATTAGGGCACAGTAGAAGTTGCTGTTGCTCTCTAATTCGCTCTGTTCTTCGTCCCATATGGGTTCCGACAGGTCAAAATTTGAAATGCTTTGAATGAAGTTCAGTCATTTCCATTGGAAATAAAAGAGCTCTGACCTGATTGTTGTTTTGAGAACACTGCCAGCACTTGACAGATACTTAAATAGTAAGTAATGACACCTACTCCGGTGTTGTATTGAATATATTTGGAGTGTTTTAGGTTTTCAGGCCTAGATGGAAGGGTCCTGCCTCTTTAACTTAAACATTAAATAACACACATTCTGTAGGTATATCCCAAATCTGTGACAGAGCCTCTGCAAAGTAAACTGCATTTAATACCCGGTTCTGAAACAATGAGGCGGACACTTAGCTGCGTTTGGGCTACAGCAAGAGATGCTTGCCATCTTAGCAGCATCGTGCTGGATGTTGTGCATCTTCCTTCTGGGTGCAGCTTCCTGTCTCACCAGTTTGAACCCTTAGTCAGATTTTGCACAGGAAAAAAACCAAAACGTTGTCCAGTGGTTCTCATTGTCTGCTTGGAAGTTTGCTTTGAAGGTTTCTTTTCCCCTGATTATCAGAAATTCCTGCTAAATTAGTATAGTTACAAAGATGAAAGTTGTATTTAGATTGGTTTTCTTGTGTGTGACAGTTCTGTGTTGCTATTAAAAGCACAAGACCAAGTGCCCACTGCCAGACACATTCTGTGCATGTACCCCAGTGTTTGAAAATGTTCAAGATGGTCTTTTTTCCTATGTTGTGCTCACACTATTGCTATTTTCTAATAGATTGGTACAGAGGAACTCACTGTGAATTGTATTATTGGGATATCTTGGAGACATCCCACTCTGTCCTGAGTCAGCCCTTATTTGACTGAATAGCATTTACCCTTGGTAGGAATTTGCAACAGCTGAAGTCAAATGATAATCTCAGTGGTTGGTTCCTATCTGCTTGTAAGGAGTGTACATTTCATTTTGCTTGCATTGTCATGCAAATATACCAGGAAATGTGTGGAGATTCTACAGGGAAAAAAAAAAAAAAAAAGAGAATTATGCTAGAGCAGCTACTTATCTGCACAAATGGATGCATTGTGCAAACAGACAACACTGTCCTGGCCCAGCAAGGAGGCATTTTTGAGCAGACACCTCTCGCAGCCTGCTGGTGTCGGTTGCTGTCTCCCTGATGATCTGCTTCAGCAAGACTCATACCTTAGGTGCTGTAAGCAGACACATTTGTTGTGTGGAGCAGTGGCTGAGCACATACAGACAGCTGATGACCAGCGGATGGGCAGTGACCTGCTAAGCTGCACCAGCACAGATGTAGGTGTTCCAGACACTGACACTTAGTATCACGCATCTAGTAAGCCTGGGCAAAGACTTAGAAGGAGACTCAAAAGGTTTATCTTGTTTATCATAGGTCAGGTTTATGGCAGTATGACAGATGGCTTTGTCACTCTGTGATTTTGTCACAGAAAACCCACCAGAAGATACAAGGGAAGAGGAATGTCAAAATAATTGCGCATTCACTAAGATGAAAAAAGGTGAAAGGTGCATACGTGAGAAGAAGATAATTGCCCTGATGCTGCCTGAAGTCTGCTTAGACCCCTTATGCTTACATGAAATTCCACTGATCTCAATGGGTCTCTGCACTCTCCTCCATCCACGTATATGAAACTGACAGATCAGGGTTGGAGAATCATGTAAGGCTTTAAGTAGCCTTAGAGAGGCTATAAAATATAACCGAGGGACATTAAAGAAATATTTAATTTTGACTGAAGAGGAAGTAATTGCTGTGGACAGTCTGCAATTGCTCCACAAGAGAGGAGTGCCCTGGTAAATGAGAACACAGAGAATTATTTCCACGGATTCTGAGTCACTAAATCATCTTACTGAGATATTTTTCACATCAAATTTGGCGTATTTCTGTCTCCACGCAGTTACAGTTTCAGATATAATTAATGTAGTGCATTGTACATGTGGTGTATGCATACAGATGTTCTGTGAAGTCATACCACAGGCTAGTTTCAGGAGTTAGATCTCGTACTTGTGGTTTATCTCTGATGAAACTACAGAGCTGAGAGCCCATAACTCCAGAATGTGTCCTAAACCAGAAATCCTCCCTGACCCTGCCACTGGGATTGCAGTGTGCAGGGGAAGAGGAATCAGCCATACCAGTAGCCCAAGTTCACGTCATGAACTCTTCTTCTGACCCCTCTTTCTTCATGCCCCCCCTGTTTGCAACAACAATGAAGCCAGACCCTCATTATTTTTTCAGTGAGTTTTCAGACATCTTTGTTAGAGGTCAAAATCTAATTCTGTGCTCTGGGCTACCTTTCTGGTATACCTTTATATACCTGCTGGCACTCAAGCGTGTGGATATAGCTAATTTAACAGCAATGCTGGCATCGAGATGAGAGTCCCATCCTTTAGAGGAGCTGAGGGTGGTGAGCATGAATTCATAGGTTTAGCTGTCAGAGGTCTCTCCCAGAGCCTTGAGTGCAGGAGGAGCTGCATGAGAGATCACACGTGTCTTTGTGTGGCTGTCCTTGCACTAGTGAAAGTGAAATTTCAGATCATGCTGTTCAGCCACAGCCTTAGTGAATCCATATCACTAGTA